AGAGAAAAAAAAACATCCCATAAAAAAGTGTTACCTGGGAGCATAATGATCTTTGTTGTAATTTTGAGAGTGTTTTTTCTTGTTTTCTGCCCTAGAAAAAGGCATTCACTTTTTGATTTGTTTGTATTTAATTATATCCCTGATACTTGAGTGCTTTTTACTGTATCGTTTATAATTGGTACATTCTATTATTTTGAAAGCTCAACAGCCTGAACATGTTGCTTGTATCTTAAATTGGCAAAGAGATACACAGATTACTTGGTTATTGGCTCTAGAGAGCCAGAGTCCAGCAGGTTTCATTCCAAAACCGTCAGCTTCTATACACTTAGAAAAACCACTGAAGCTGACGATTTGTTCAAAATGAGCACTTTGGGGATTGTCTGAAATGAAAATGCCAACATCCGGTAGCTCTCAAGGACTGCAGAGTTAATTGAGTATTTAACTTACTAAACTGTGCAAAAAGTGTGTGCAAAATTCCATATTTCAAATTTCACACCGTGTCTCTGAAAACTGATATTTTAAGTTGTTCAGTAAGATCTGTAGAGCTGTCTTTTTTCAGAGACCAGGAATGATCACCTATGCTTTATGCATATTTATAACATGAATTATAAAAACTGATTAAAGTAAGCAGTATGCCACCTATCAGAGTGGTAAGTACAGTATGGTATTGACCAGCAGAATCTGTAGAATGCTTTTGTAAATTCATCAAGGCTACGAAGGGAACTATTTACTGTGCACTGGCACCTGCAGTAATACTACATTTGTGAAGGAGTTTCATTCTCCTTTTCTGAAATTTTGTTAGGCTTCTTGAGAAAACATAACTGTTAGGCCGCAAAGATTCCTGTAAAGTCTCCACAAGCCGCACTGTAAAGGTTCACTGCCATAGTCAAATAAACACTGAGGCAGTCCTAGTCTAAACCTGCTGCTTTTATTTTTAAAACACCTTTTGTTCTGCCTCCTTCCTTAAAAAGTTCTGCTTTGTGTTTTCGGCAGTGCTGAATTATAAATAGGATTTTTCTCAGCAAATAAAAAAGTACAAGCCACTGAAAGCGGTACTAGAAAGTTCAATACCAGACGAGACCAGCTGGCAAAGCTGAAAAACATCGGTTACACCGCGTTTTTAAAAAGCTTTGAAGGTCACTAGTCCCACAGAGACGGTGTTTTGTCGCCCTCTTTTGGTGAAAGAAAACATGGCATTCGTTTGTCACATATTTTCGGTCGAGTATGATGTCTCTAACCATATTAAAAAACGCGTTTCTTGGGTCTGATATAATAATACATGAAGAGAAAGCGTGCGTCCACACTAAAAATTAAAGGACTAAAGACTATAGCAAATTGCATAAAAATGCAAAGATTTTTTTTTATATAACAGCTTGATCCACGGTACCGTTATTCAACGTTTTCTAATCCACACTGTTATTTAGTATATGAAGACGCGTATGGTAGAGAGCTTAATATCTTCACTCGCGTTATCTACACTGACTCTGGTAACATGCGCGTGTATTACAATACTTTAATCTAGCAACTGACCTCACTGCAAATAGATGAGTACATTTTGTAAATTGCAATTCTAATTTTAAGATAACGTAGTTAAATTTTCACAGATCTTCCAAATCAAGTTTCCAGGTTAATTCAATAACAGAACTCCATCATATTGCTTAATCAATAGTTTGAAGTTCAGTTGTCTGGTCTTTCGTTACTAAAATATGAAGTATTGTCTTCTACTTATAACCACAGAAGTAACTCAAAATATAGGCTTACATGTACTGTACATATATATGGAGGAAGAGAAAGAAAACTATTCTAGCCACTTTTAGAAACATGACTTCCTTTAGTAATTCCAACCCCTGAGCTTCAAGCGACAACTGCAACTAAGGTACCCTACGATAATCTGACTTAATAAATTCCTGCGGCCAAAAAAGTATTAAAACGGAGAAAATTTCATGTAAAAAATGATTAAGCTACTAATTAAGCTGTTTAGGACTTGTTTCCCCTACCACTAATGATAATTAACATGCAAATGAGCTCGGGGAGAAGGGTAAGGCCCAGCGGTCTGCAGTTCGTTACTGACTTAATTACTGCTTGAACAGTAAAACATCACAGTTATAAATGGCAGCATTTCAGGTAATGGGCAGCACGATAATTAGGGTTATGGCATGCTGCAAAACATTTTTTTCCTTCTCTGGTGATAAATGGTGATCCGCCATGATGTACTTTGACACACAGTTCAATTAAAAAAAAACTACAGAAAAACAATTAGATGAGCATTTGAGCTAAGCAAAAACCATTCAAGCCTCTGACTTATTTTTCTGTTAAGCAACGGGTTCCAAGGAAAAGTACACTAATTAGGCCCAGGACTATAGGAAACTACCGAAAAGGTCAGGGCTGATTCTCAGATTTTCAGTACAAAGCACGACGGCTTGTTATTGGCCGAAATTCCTCTCGCACAAACTATCCTCCTCTTGCTCGCCCAAACAATCTTAAGAATCGCATCACAGAGAATTGGAAATGAACTAGGAGGAAGGCATTCTGACCGATTGGATCATCTGACTCATCCTGTAAATGGGGTTAGATTAATTAATTGTATTACGAAGCAACGCTATTTTTGTTTTTGCAGCTGTAACAGTTCAACTAGGGGTGGCACCACCCAACAGACCACAACACGTTTTCAAAGAGGGATTGTGGGTCAGAACCTCCTAGAGCTGGCAGAGAATTAGCTGCACAAAAACAACTGTAGCAGGGCCAGTGTTTTCCCAGTGTGCTCTGTATATACAGTAATTATTTAAAAGACCATTCATTATCCATAAAGAAAATGCATCCAAGCACTACAGGTTACGTCTTGTTTTGTTCTTCACTTATGGGGTGCCCTCCTTGCTAGGTATGTCCCCTCAAAGGAAGATACCATTCTGTAGAACCAGAATTGCTTATCAACATCACATATTGCAGTATGCAAATGTTCTCAATACTTTGTGTCATCATTTTTAGCTTAAGGTGTTCTCAACTCGCAACCAGGAAAATCTAATAACATGATTAAAATCAAGACAGTCACTTCATCCCATGAGGAACATTTAGGACACAGTTTATAATCCAGTTATTACTCTTGATGTGCTGGATTTAGCATTTTTAAATCACCAAAGAAAAAGTGCAAGTTTTATAAACTTTGTGAGATGTTCATTTAAGTACTTCATTTAACCCTGACTCTATTGCCTAACTTTGCCCATAAAATGTACAAATGCTTTATTGAAATAAGATTAATTTTTCCATTAAGCAACTCAATCAAAAAAGTATTCTTTATAAAAAACAGTCCTACATTTTTCTGCTTTTGGCATCCTTTTCCTGTTTCTAATTAAAATCCCTTTAATTACTTTTGCTTTAATTAAGTATTATATTATAATTTACAGCCCATGACAGGTGTCATGTGTTAGGACTCATTATCATAAAGTACAGCAGAGAATATTAATTCACAAATACATTCAAAAAATATTGGGAAGGTTGGCAGACTGGAGGCTAAATTTCATTAACCATCATATTTAATTACCTACGCTGGATCAGAGAAGAAAGTAAATATTAAGGAGTGTGACTTAGGGGCACGAATTTGATGAATACCCAAGACTACTGACCAAAAGATCTCCTCAAAGCCTAATTTTGGTGCCAAAGGAAAAGGGGCTTAATCTCTAAAAGCTACATTTACTAAACCATGGACCCTGAGCTAAGGATTGAGCACGAAGTCCCTCTGGCACAGAACTTATCAACCAAGCAAGAACCAGCTGATCGTGGTCTCACCTACCTGAACCCAGGCCTACTTGATCCTGCATCACCTTAAATACAAATTCTAGGATAGTGTTCTGGGTAAAAAAAAGGCACAAAATCTGGTAAGCTTTTGGTTGGTCATTTGCTACCAAACCTGCATACAGATACAGAAAAGTCTGTGGTCCGGTGGTCTTCTCATCCACAGTCCGATACAATCTGAAAATAAAAAGGTGCCACGTTCCATTTGTATCACATAAACCAAAAGCAAGGACACACTCAAACGCAAAGGGTCACAAAATAATTCCTTATTCCCAAAATAACAAAACCGATACCATTTGGACAA